AGAATGATTCCGTGCTCTGTGATCACCTTCATTATTGTTCTGCCAATTTTTGAGAGCAAATAAAAGTTGAGGTCTTAGCATTCATTGAAGACAGCATTCTAGTTGAGAACTTGCAATTGTTTGATGCTTTATTTGGAATGTCAGAGATACGAGTCGAGGCCAGCTTTTATGAGAAAATTAAGACTTATTATTTGTCTTTCATGAAAAAGGTAAAAATTGGCATTCAAATGAACTTTTTGTGGGTTGAACTGAATCTCAGATTGTCTTTAAAAGGTCTTAGTGAGACCTGGAAAACCACATTTTCACTTCAAGAAATTAATTGTTGACTCAGAAAACATACTCATGTATATCCTGTTTCTTTTACGACTTTTATCGGACAGCGCGGCTTGTAATTCATTGATGCGAGGTCGTGCAATGGCGTCTTTCCTTCAAGGGCGGATTATGTTTTGTAAAATGAAAAATCACCTGGATCCCAAATGGGGTTTAATAAAACTTCAGCCAATGAAATGTGCCGCTTTTGTGTGGGGACGGTTCTTTTTGCGGGAACCGCACATTTCTTCGTCACTCTGTCACAGCCATTCAAAGAGTGCAGAGCACCGATTCTTTTCCTGAATTTAGTCGTAGATACTTCAAAGCTGCATACATGTATCTGGACAGATTTGATCAAGATATTTAAATAATTGCAATATTTAGAATTATTGGTATCTCCAAAGGTCACAAATGATTATTAAAGTAAAAAATCCATGTGTGATATATTCCTATAGTGTTTTCTCCAACACAGAGAGAGTTTGCTATAAACATGAAGAAACTAGAGGAACTGCATTGTTTTTGAAGACAAAAAGAGGATGCATGGTGATGCATATTGGGCCAATCTTTTAAGTTTGTGCATGCATCATTGGGCTAGCTTGTTTAGGTGTTGGGCAATTTATCACTCTACACTATGGTAAAGAAAGTACCAGCTACAGCAGCAATATATCTTGAGAAAAACTCCCTGGGGCATGATTCTTAAAATTAATACCCCATCAGTTCACAGGATTCTGTCATCCCTGGTAGCCATTAGGTGCTGTTGAGGGTGTCATCGATGGCCAGAGCGGCATGCTTTATTACATTCAAATTGATTTCCCTGCACATAATCATAAAATGATGCATGGGGACACTGAAAAGATGACTAGACTTTATGAGTGAAACATGAGTCCATGTATATTGATTCATATTGTGCGGCCTGTTGGACGAGCTAGTGTTGAAGTAAATTTAAGCAAGAGAGGTGGTCCAGAGGTAGACTGTTTCCTGCCCCCCCTCCCCCCCCCCCCAAGATATGGGGACCGGTAACTAGCTCCCTTTTAAAGCCTTTGATTGGATCGCCTCTGTGCGTGCGCATCATGCTTGTTTATTTTTGAATCGCTGTTCAACTTTTGTGCAAATCCGACGCTGGTGATTGGACTCACGATTATCAGGAAACTTGTGCTTACCACAAAAATAACACAAAATCAACAGTGTCTCCATGAAAGCAACTTTCAAGCATTTCAACTAGATAGGTTGTAAATATTGAACAGCAATATCTCTCTCTCTCTTATTGATTTGCCAGAGATATTCAGCAAAAAATCGAAGCTCATTACCTCCCAAAATGCACATTCGTGGCCAGGTCATTTGCAACATGCTGGTTGGGCGCAGACATTGCCTACGGACGTCGTATGGTTAACATACATTACCTGGAATTCCGGGCAATGCATGCCAGATTCACCGCTAGTTACCAGACCCATTTTTGAGGTCCATGCAAAGGAAAATGGCGTCAGGGAACCAGACTAGTCCAGCCTAATGTCCACTTTGCACCTGTATATCCCGTTCACTGCACCGAGTGACTGACTGTCACTTGTTACTTGGGCAGTACTATTGTGTAGGATTACCCTGTAATGGCAATGAATGGGCGCAATTCGGGCGATTCACAATGCAGTGCGCCACGAAGAGTTTGCCATGGAGAATCCATTTTTCAAGTTTACGGTCAACATGGCCCATTTGAATGAGTGTCAGTAGAAAACTTGAGCTAATTTGTTATAGATGGGGCAAAGCGTGCTGCCGCCTTACAAAAAAAACTCCATATTGATAAAAAAAACAGGAAAGGGCAAACAGATACCCGAATCATACGCTTACGCACTTTCTGGCCGGAAAAACTAACAATTTCAAATGTCCCGCGCTGCGAATTTGTCGACCATCTCCCACAATGCACTGGGAAAAATTAACTCTCCGTGGCAAACTCTTGGTGGCGCACTGCATTGTGAATCGCCCGAATTGCATCATCACATAGATCAGGTGCATGCAAAAAAGACAGTGAATGGCCATTCTGAATCAATTGCATGCATTTTGTGTGCTCAGGGACCAGCTTTATTTGGCTTGCCTTGTGTTGTTTTGCCTTGGGAGATGCTGCTGTTCTGTGTTGCATATTGCAACTACTGAAATTGCTGCTGCTGCCAATGTAAAGCATCTGTTATTGCTACATGCTGCTGCAACTGCTGCTGCAGCTTTTGGTGTTACTGTGTTGCTGCTTCTAAAATTACTTTTGCTGGTGCTTTGTGAACTCAAGTATCTCCCTTGACGGTGACAATGAAAGAGTTGTTTGCACATTGAAGATAAACTCAATTTACAAAATATAACATGGTTTGGCAAGGTTGGCTAGTTGATATTCGCTACTCAGGATATTGGAAGTTGACAAATAGTTCCCATTTCTCATACCAATATAGAGAAATTTTGTCAAGTTGTGCATCTTGCAGTTATCTTGCGGCCATCTTGATTTTTCCCATTCAAATCAACATAACCAAAGCAAGACTGGAAGGGAAAATAGTCTGGTTCCTTTTTGCACAAAAAAATTACCATTCAGTACTGTTATTGGATACAGGGAACATGACTAAAATGGTGGCAGCATGATATAGGTCTATAGGGCAAGGTTCGCAAGTGTGCACTACCCCCTGTGTGCAATAGTTCCACGATTGCTTATAATTAAAGCGCATGCGTAGTAAGACTATTGTGTAACCCATGCAATAGCCGACTGCTTGCATACAATGTACTCTGTGTGTGAATCCTCACACGCAGGCTTTGTAAATAGCAAAACTAGCAGCATCCACGTGATGGTGAATGGACAAGCAAGAATTCAGATCTCAGTCATTAATATGTATGAGGTGTAGTAATTGTGTATATTTCATGACATGCTGTGTATACACGGAAGTTTCGCGTGAGTGGTCACAAACTGAAGAGCATCTAATGTCCATAACACAGTTGTAATTGAGTCATGCAATCACAAGTCAATTACATTTCAAAACAAAAGTCAGGTAACAAAAACAAGATGGACAACGACAATCAAGGAATGCATTTGTCACAAATCATTTGTAACTCGACTTCAGACTAGTTGATTTAATTGCAACTCTGGTCTATAGCATACAGCATACAAATAGTGACTGCTACATGTATAAGTGATATTTTAAAAGTAGCCTCCTAAGTGATGATAGCCACTAAATACTTCTTTTTATGGAAAAATTAAGTCAAAATCCACTTGTGTTGACCTTATTCGACACCATTGACTCTAAGGCCAAAAAAAAAAAGTCTCCGGTTTCTGGTATGGAGCTTGCCCCAAAAGTGGTGCGGCGACGCGGCTTTTTTTTTTTTTACCTGATTTTTTTGCTTCAAATGTCGGCTGATGACTGCAAATGGTGCCCGACTAAACTTAGTGCAAATATATGGGAGTCCAGAGAGGCCACATAAAGCTTATTCTCGACCATAACCCCATCTAAAAACACGTTAAAATTGTGCAGCAGCAGGATTCCAGTCAAACCAGTGAGTTTGGCGGTTTTGAGACATCATCTTTCATTGAAAAAAAACTTTTTCATTTTGCCGACGCGCATGGCTACGGCGACGCGCGCGCATACCAGAAACCGGAGACTTTTTTTTTTGGCCTAAGGCACTTTTTGTGCCACTATGAAAACTTTCACCCATGCCATGTATTCATACAATGTATGTGCTAGATGGATTAATTGATCCATTGTGAAGTGCCGGTATGCACAGAGACTAGGATGCGGTTGCCATGGGTATTGTTCCGTTGTTGCTATGGATATCTTGCTTTTTTTGTGATGAATGATATTTGGTAGAAGGCAGTAAGAACAATAAACACTGCTGGACATATTCACAGACTATCTAGAGAAAAAATGTGTGGGTGAGCGTTTTTATAGGATGGAATTTGTGTTGGGGGAATTTGAATTCAATATTGAGTTTTGCCCTTCACCAAAGTATTTTTATTAACACTGTATGGGCTCCGTGCATATGTACCCCATCAACGGCCAGAATGGGAGAGTTGGGGGAGACCTAGACTGGTTCCCGGTCCATCCACTGGGTATTTCGAATGATCCAAAGTTATTGGGGGCGGGAATTAGTCTGGGAGATCGCAAGTTAAATTCAAATGTATTAGTGCGCCGACGACGCCCGACGCCCACGCGCGAAGACGCTGCAGCTCAGCTTTGTGCACATTCAGAATAAATAAGTCGTGCGTACTTTGCGCGCGGACCAATACGCACACGCGGTGTCCTGTCCAAGGGGCTTTCAAAAGTCATAAAAACGCACCCTCTTTTGTTGGTGCACGGAGCCCATACTCAGTGTTGTCAGAATTTAGCCAGCCAACCGACACTGGCAAGCTCTGTGGTCGAGTTGTATGACTCCTGCACCAGCAAGCAGGAGGTCGTTGGTTCATATTCCACCCAAATACGCTTGTTGATGTTTCTCGCAAGCCTAGGTAACACTGAGTATAGTGCTTTAATTTCAGAAGGATTTAAAAAAAAAAAAAATTTTTAAGATCTCTCTTTTGAAAGATTCTGCTTCTTAAAAAAACTTCAAGCCCTCTAACTGTATGAATTGATATATTTCAGTAATAAGCAGTTTTCAGCTGGTGTTTTATGTCTAAATAAAATTGTTTTATGTCTAAATATAGTGGCACTAAACTTTTTATTTGTGCTTTTCAACAGGTTGATGGCCAACAGCATTGCTTTCATGGCACTGGGGAACCAAAACAAGAAATGAGAATTTGCCGGAATGACAAGGGTATGTTGAATCTTCAGTATTTTCAGACATAGGGATTCAGACCTAAGTTAATATAATAATAATAATAATGATAATTATAATTACCGAGAATTGGGTATTAGGGAGACATTCCCATAGACTGGTGCACACATTTTTTTTTCAACTTTAATGACCCCTAATAATCCCAATTTTACCTTACCTGACCCCCACGAATTTCGGGTATTTTTACTAATTCGACAACGAGCAAACGATCTAGCCTATTTGCGACAATACATTTTGCCTCTAAGTAGGGGATATGGAATTACAGAGACATTGAAATGTCCCCCTAATCATATTCGATGTGTCTCCCAAAGGACTAATAATAATAATAATAATAATAATAGGATTTATAGAAGGCAAAATTGCCTAAGGATACAAAGAATAAAAACAGGGAAAGAAGACAAGAAAAGAGGACAACCAGCTATGATTTGGGGAAAAGGTGGGTCTTGATTGAGAGCCTTTTGAAGGACAAACTGCTAGAATTTCCGATGGGGATGGGTAGGCTATTCCATAAGCAGGGGAGGGGGGGGGGGGGCGGCAATGGAGAACGCCCTGTCACCAGCCTGTAATATGAGCTATCTGACAATTACAATTATTTGTAAATGCACCTAGTCAGTTTCCCTTGTGGTATTATTATACAAATAATGAATGTTTGTGAGTGCAATGGTAAGAATAATTTCATGAGCTGTGAAATTTTTCGTTCCATTGCACGAACGTGAAACCTTCATTATTTGTTTTATATAACACCTGAATAAATCCTCGTCATCTGATTGGTTGAATTTTAATAGCCAATTTATTCAGGCTAAAACTGTTTAAAAGTTCGACAAGGTTATCATATTTAATTTATGGAAACTGTTCAATAGGTTTTGAGATTCAATATAATACAGCGACACCACCGGCAGCAGTGACACCATGCAATGGAAGTTCTATTCACCATGCAATGGAACTTCCATTGCACGGTGCGCTGCGCGCCGCGCGCGCGCCGTGCGTTGGGACGAATAATTCAATGGCATGTGATCAACGATCCACCAAACAGATGAAGGGGATTTATTCAGGTGTTGTATAAAGTTGATTATTTGAAATACAAAAACAGTATCCTCTCTGAGTGATCCCCGTTTGCTATTTCCAAGGTTTGTAGCAGTGCTAATGTTGCTTGCATCATGACATTATGATCCATGGCTTCATGACATATGCAGGTTTCTGGCTCAGTGCCTTTGAACAAAGATATTTACAAAATGGGGAACCACCAACATAGGGCTGGATAGCTCAGTTGGTAGAGCACCAGTAATAAAGATTCAAACCCCTCTCCAGTCAATTTCCTTGTTCAACTTTTAAAATGCACCTAAATAGTTTCCCTATATGTGGGTTATTTAAAAATATTATGTATTATACAACACCTGAATAAATCCCCGTCATCTGATTGGTGGATCATTGATCACATGTTATTGAATTATTCGTCCCAACGCACGACGCGCGCGGTGCGCAGCGCACAGTGCAATGGAAGTTCCATTGCACGGTGAATAGAACTTCCATTGCACAGTGTCACTGCTGCTGGTTGGTGGTGGTGCTGTTTTAAATCGAGATAATAACCATAATTTCAATGGGGGCGCTGTTCAAATCCGACGATTATTAACACTTTATTACAGAATAGTGTACAAATACCCCCCTAACCAAGCTGGCTCTGTCTGTATTTTGGGCACAGGCGGACATTATTACCAGTTTCATTTTTCTTGGTGTGGGGGGGGGGGGTTCACATTATATTTAAGGAATTTTCATGAAAAAAAAAAGAAATTTGACAGACCTGGGATTTTTGGGACCCCCCCCCCTTGATCCGCGCCTGGGAGGGTGAGTAAAGGCACACCCTGCCAGGGAGGTCTGAGGGCATTTAATCCCCAGAAAATGTTGAAATCTACGATGCTTTCTCCTGCATTCTAAGGCAATTTGTAAATAAATTTAGGAACTTTAACATTTCATTTATTATTTCTGGTCCCATTTTACTAGTATTGCATTAGTCAGAGGCTGAAAAGAGGGTGCAACCCACAAGCACCCCTCTCCCCCGATTTCCCACTAAGCGGTCGCTTTTTGTGTTGATCAACACCTCACTCACTCCATTTTTGAACAAAAAACTGGAAACTTTACAAATCGGCCAGTGTTGTAGCCGAGTCCATCACACGTCCACAAAAGTCTTCACAAGTCCATCACAAGATAATCACTAATTCTCAAGTCCTGAAGTCAAGTCAGAAACCGTTCAAACATATTGTGACAAAGGCTTTGCTCAGTTATTGTCCCACTTTTGCGACCAGACTTGTGGATGGACTTCTGATTTACTTGTTACAGACTTCTTAAACACCTACGTGTAAGCCAGCTCCCCCTTTGAAAAAAAAATTCACTGATATTGCCTTAATCATTCATCCTGTTTTTCATTTGTTGCTAGGTTCGTGGGATGTCTACAGTGAAGACCCATTGGCATCTTTGACACACCGAGGTCCTGCCAACCTTGGGCCAGCCAGGAGGGTAGCTGAAAATCCGTTCCTCATTGTATCAGGTATGCACAGATCATATACAATGTACCGTACATATAAAACGGTTCTTATTAATTGCAGTTCCATTAGGTGCCATACAGGGCGAGTCAAACAAAATGAAACCCAAATGTCGGGACCATTGTTTTAGTGAAGTTCTGCATGCAACACTTTCAAAATCTAGGATATGAAAGCCCAATTCATAAGCTTTCTTTTTGTACAAGAATCATTCAAATTACTCATGTACCGGTACTTTTCAAGTTACGGAGTTTTAAACACAACCACCGTTTTAAAGCTCTGTCCACGGATCACAAAAAATGTGTGTGTTCTTTCAGCAAAACGAAAACAATTCACTTAAGGATGTGTGTGATTCATTTTCGATTTGCTGAAAGAACACTGAACTTTTTTGTGATCTGTGGACAGAACCTTAAAACGGCGGTTGTGTTTAAAACTCCGTAATTTGAAAACTACAGGAGTGATTTGAAAGATTCTTGTACTAAAAGAAAGCTTATGAATTGGGCTTTCATATCCCAGATTTTGGAAGTGCTACATGCAGAACTTTACTAAAACAATGGTCCTGACATTTGGGTTTCGTTGTTTTTACTCACCCTGTATAGCCCTTTATTCTTGTACTATTAGTCAGATCCAGCATTTACAGAAAGGGGGAGGGGGCACCCGAAATGGTGGCGAAACCCAGACATACAGGCAGTGCATATTTTTGCCCATGTGGGAAAAAAATCCTGTCTTTTTAGTGATTAAACAACCAGTTGGCAGCAGAAGAAACAGGGAAAAAAGGCAAGACATACCTCTCAGAAAAGAAAGGAAACCTGTGAAAAATAAGGGGGGGGGGGCTGCGAGCTGTGCCCCCCCAGGTGTGCCCCCTCTGGATCCGCTACTGCCTATGGAGCCCGTAAGAGCAATTTGTTTCCGTGATTTTACTGATCGTGAGTTCATTATATGGAAGCATGTAGAAAGTACAAGTATGACTTCCACTTGTATGTTTTTAAATCATGTCGGTAGCAAAAAAACAACCATTTTTGTGTGTGGGTTCATTAAAATGGTTACAAACAGGAAGGGTATTTGTGCTGTTGCTTAAATTTCCTAAAACTAAAAATCTCAATTGGGATATGCCTAAACATGATATGATCTAAACTAACATGATCTAAACAGCAAAAATCTATGCTTCTGTCTTGTTGTTCAGTTCAAACATGCTAAGAGTGAAGTGTGGTCCATCAATCGTCCAGGATTTTACCTTTTAGACTACAGTGGTGAATTACTTCATGGGTCAAATTTCAGCTCATATGAATTGAGGAGCCCGATTTTGTCATTTACTTGGAAAAACAATACAATCCCCAACTTCCCATCCCCACTACTTTGGAGGGGGGGGGGGGGAATTTAAGGTCAAAATCAGTACACCAAGAGCCTTTTCTTAATATCCCTCAAGCTTTCTAATTGCTATTATAAGATGGACTTTTTGCGTCGGGATGATATAAATCAAATTAGGTTTTTGCCCTTCACCGACGTTTAAACACTGTATACTCAGTGTGTTACCATCTTAGTTTATAGTTACATGTAATAGTTTATGCAGTACCCGCTGCTATGTACATCAGATTCGAACCAGCCAACCGATCCCGTTAGCTCGGTGGTCGAGTGGTAAGACATCTGCACTAGAAAGCAGGAGGTCGTGGGTTCAAGTCCCACCCAAGTGATTTTTCCAACTTTCACTCAGGAGGTAACACACTGAGTATACAGTGTTTAAACGTCAGTGAAGGGCAAAAACCTAATTTGCTTTCTAATTGCACCCAACAAATACCGCTGTGTTGTACCGAGGGCTACACCATAAGCACCAGACTCGGGGGGAAAACGAGTCTTATATCTTAAGATCTTCATATCTTTTTCACATGACAGCTTTAGTAGATCAAGTTCTTCCTTGTGTATAGCCACAACAGTGTGGATTTTAGCTGCCCATGGACTATATTTTGCTAGTATATATTCTGGCTGACATTTCGCTGTCTTGGGTATACGCCTGTGTGATGCTGTGATCATCTTACACTCCTATGTGCTTTGAATCCCTTGTAATGGGCATTTTTTTCTTCTATGCTCATCTAGGGGTAATTCTAAACCCAGTGACCTTTATTTCCTGAGGCGCTGTGAGCATTGATGATGTTCTTGCTTTGCCATGTTTACGGTGAGCATGAGAAAGTCTACGATAAGCACAACTGAGGCTATTCTGAGTATACCTGTTCAACCAGCAATACACATTTCATATTTGCTCATCATCAATACCATGTGCTGTACTTGTGTCAATCTACTTTTTACTGAGACCGGTTCATTTTAGAGAAACATTACAAGCTGCACACTTCTGGGACCAATAGTCGTGTCAAGTTTTATGTCCAATTCGAGGCCAAATGACTGTAATTAGTTTCAATTTAAAGGGAATATACAACATTTGCAAACATCGAAAAATAAAACTACCAAGTTTTTACGAAATACCTTACTAGGATGTTGGTAAATGACAGTCTAAAGCATCCTGTAAAATTATGGCACCTGGTGTGAAGTCATTTTCAAGAAAATTGTATTTTTGTATACATTTCCAACGGTGGTCGGCCGACCACCGTTGGAAAAACCTAATTATTTTTCAACTACTGCTCCAACTTTACACTTTTTTCAGTCCAAATTTTGTTTGCTATTGCTTATGTTCATGAACGGGTGCAGGCCAGCTAGACTGGTTCCCTTACCTTACAATTTTCCGGCATCTATAAATTGATCCATTTTATCTTTAGTGGAGTCAAGGAACCAGACTACTTGAACATTTTTGTTTTTTTTGGTTTTTCCAGCATTTTCGAACACAAAACTTCAAACATGTCAGTGTAACAATATTTGATCTATTATACTAACCCCTCAAATAGTTCATTTCTGAAAATTACAACAAAAGCCAATGATGTACATTCCCTTTAAATAACTCATACTACAGTGTGTGAATGAGCATTATTGCGTACATTGGGCAGTGAAAGAAAGTAAACAGTTCATGCCACTCTGCTCTGAAATTTTATATTCTACATAAATGGTATGTCTAAGATTTTGTAAAATTGGTATTTATTGAGAAAAAAAATGCTCAAGAAATCAGCTGAAAACTTACTGAGGCACAATATAAAAATGGCATGATGTTTTAATTAAAACTTTGTTATCAATGTTTATATCACCCCCTACATAAACGAAGCATTAATACATGTTTTTGTGATTGCTTCAAATACAAGATGACTTTCTCTCCCTCACTGTGTGGGGAAACTCCCATGTCGATAGCCGCTGAATGTAGCAAAACGAGCACCCTTATCGCATCCAGTGAATCTATTAGATTTGTCAAAGGGCCGGGAATTGAATTTGTCGGGGAGGCTTGGCAGCTGTAGGGTGGGTGGTTTATCTGCGCCATTATTTTTTTTTTCCTCCGAGGGCCGCTAGAAAGACCCATTGCTCTTTGTGAACCACAAGGCACATATGCACCCCAAGCGTGAATATATTACATCTGATAAGATCTTCAACTCGTGATGATGGAATTTCTGTTGCAAAAAAAAAAAAGCCACTTGCATTTGGTGCTTTGCAGGAATGCAGCAAGATGAAACTGTCGTCTTAGCCTGAACACCTTCGGCAATAAAATGCGTGCTTTTGAATTGCCTGAGATTCATTCGGGTGTAAACAAATTGGTATGATGTCTTCATTCAAACCGAATTAGAATCTTGGGAAAGTTTACTCATGTTATTTCACATTTGAAACACATAAATGCAGTTCATTATAAGCAGTTTTTTAAGATATCAAATCATCATTAAATTATCTCCTTTTTAATATTCATAACTGACCATGGCAGTTTGTATTTTGGTAGCAAACTCTGAATGGATTTTAATTTAATTTTGTACTTTATAGGGTAAAAATTCCAAAATGAAAACGTACATATATCCAAAGACATGAAAGTTTGTACAGTAAGATTAATGCAGTGCCTAATGTTTGCACCTAATTTTTTGTTTCTATTATACAAACTGGCTAATGTAATTGTTCATTGCCTGTTCAGCTACAGTGTATGATGTTTTTAATGAGTTTTTACTTCCAAAAAAATTTGTTCCGTCTTTCAGGGACAAGGGATAAATCTCTGAGTGCCAAACTGCTGCAGTTGGCCGTTTACGTCGCAAACCTCTTCTACCTTACCTCGGATACGGTTGCCATGGTAACGCAGGACCACACGCTGAGCGAGGAGATTGCAGCTTCACACAATCTGATCGTCATTGGTGGGCCGTCTGAAAATTCATGGGCACAGACGTTCCTGAACATGGTACCTCTGACAGCAACTGAAAATGGTTAGCAATTTTTTCTTTGTTAATAAGACTTGGATGTTTGCATGATCAAATATTGAGTTTCCAAACTGGTTCCTTTCAGAACCACAAAAGACACTCGAGTTCATGGTGCTTCCGCAAACCTATTGGTCTATTTCAGTCAAGTCTTAAACCAAGAAGTGGTTAGAACTATTAATTCCCATCCCCCACCTTGTTCCAATGAGGTTTCATTAGTCGGGGTCCTACTACTGTAGACATAATCTTGGACAATTTGGCATAAAACAGCATAAACTGAAGGGCTATCACAATTGCATAATTCTGAGGTAAGCAGAACCACGAAAATGGACCCATATCTGTAGCTTATTCTCTTTTGCATTTTTGTTGTTGATGCACAACCATTTTCAAAGCTAAGTTCCACCACTGTGGCGCAAACTAAAACCATACAAATCTCCACGGGGGTGATATGAGTGCTTGTATGTGTTGTCGACCTTCACATATGCTGCCTTTCACCACATTGTGTTGATGGAATTCAGTCAGAGATGTTCCTTTAGACATTTGCATGCAACTCATTAGGTTCCCCCGTCGTCCCCCCCCCCCCCCCCCCTCATAATAAGAAATTTCTAACGCTGCTGTTGCGTTACGCTCTCATCAGAGAGGAATCAACAATAGCCCCATCCCGTGGGGAGCCAAACGAGCGGCCACTTTGCCACTCACAAGTGCCAGGTGTGCCAAGATACAACGTCTGTGTGGTTTTGCTGTTGTCAAATTGTGTATGACTTCATCTCGACATCTTTTCATATAAGAATTTAACATATAGGTAGGAAGTATGCGCTCAGTAAGGATGGGCACATGTTTAATTTTGTGACTATTTAGTGATTGTGTCATGCACCATTCAAACTCCTGAACGTTTAGCTAACAAGGGCCTTCCAAAGACCTCATAAAGTTGCAGTGTATGTGTGATTGTATGATTGTATGTAGGAGAGGCACTGCGTAAATGGTCTGTGATCTCAGCATATTGAAGGAATCAAACATAATCAATTGCATACATTGTATAGTTGTCGAAATAATAAATACTTACCAGTCATTGAAAAATATATAAAATTCATATTCCTCGTGCTCGATCTAAGGGATAGTGGTGTATTTTATATGCTTTGTTAATTACATGTAAATGGGCAAACAGACTTAATTGATCTTGTTAAAAAAAAAAAAATTAAGGGCTAGGCAAATTCAGGATCGCTTTTTTTTTTAGTTGGGGCTCCATTCTTACAGGTTTGGATTTTTGTTCTTTCGGATTTCGATTAGTCTTTGTATTTTGTAAACATCACATATGTGATGCTCATCATGGCAATGTGCCTGCCATATTTTTTAGTATTTTCAGTAACTCGACCTAATCTTCGGGTTTTGCACTCTGCCGAACACTTAATGAATCTTTTGACTGGCAATTTTTTGTTGTTGCTGAAATCACTGCCTGTTTCCCCAACCATGAAATGACATTACCTTGGTCAGACAAGACTCTGAATCTATGAAACAGTACTGCCGTCACAGTAAAGCCCTGATGATACAGACAGGAACTGATCAACATGAATTGAAAAAAAAAGTGCTGCTTATAAAAGAAACAGGCAGGATCTAGGCTAGAAAACAACTTGATTGACCTTAATCAACATTCCCCCAAAAGATAACTCAAAATTTCAAAACAAAGATGTGCGTTTTTTACAGATAATGTAGGGTTTTGGATGACGTGATTTCACTCGGCATACTGTTGATGTAATGGACACATGACATTCGTCATACACGTCATTGGGTCATATTCCATGTCAAATCACACAATCAAAACTGGGTGTGTTTGTGTGGTCAGATGGCACAAGTAAATATTTTCTTCTCGAGTGTTGATAAATTACTGAAACACACACCCCCAATTTTTTTAATTTTATTTTACTGATACATTCTCTCACCTGATTGTACAGCTTTATTATTCTGCATCCTTGAACAAAACAAAGCAAAGGAATTTTACTGCACTGATAAACTGTAACTCTAACCCTTCCAGATTTCTGCTTTAGAAATCCACCGTGAGGATTTTGCAAGATTCGGAAAGGTAGAGCCCAGACTAGTTGACTTTATATGAAGCTGGATGCACCTTGAAAGCAAAAGTAGTTTTAACACAGTGGAGGAATACAGAGGATCTGAGAAGGTTCTTAGAAAAAAATCCATTGAGACTAAGCATTTCCCCCCATTTTTTGTCCAAATCTTCCAGTCTAAACACTAAAAGATGGCCTTTTTTTTTTACATCCATGATATTTAGGCCTTGAGCTTGGCGATTGTGTATTCAAAGAGAAGAGAACTGGGGCCCTGTTTCTGGCTCCCCATCACGACGGTAGACTTGCCTTGGTCCTGATGGGGAACTCCCTCCAAGGAATCGAAGATGTGGTGCATCTGGCTAGCCCCACCATCCCACCCATGACACGCTCCCCTGTAAGTAACAGCTGGAATCAGGGCCCAATGTCTTGGCTCTGCTTACCGTTGGCGAAAAATCCCTGCTCACTATAGCAGAAAATTCTGTGCTTACGGTAAGCTTATTTCACGTGCTAGCGAGGAATTTTGGCTTCTGTGCATTCGTACATTCCGTAACTAAGGATTCTGTGCTTACAGGGTTAGCACAGATTTTTTTGCTAGCATGGTTATTAGCACAAAATGGTGATCGTAAGCTCGGAATTCTGTGATTAGCAGAGCCATGAAATTGTGCCCTGCTGGTTTTAATACTTTGGTATCCTTTGCATGTCTTGCTTAAAGATTATTGGTGGGTTTCAGTTTAAAAGCGTATGCACTACAAATATTTATTTTAAGCCACTCCAAGCTAAGTGGGTTTGAGTTCCACACAAGCAAGCTCGTGATTTTGTTCGTCCAAGCTCAGCCCCCACTGAGTATATAATGCTTGTACAAATTGTCAGCGAAGGGCAAACCCTAATATTAAATCAATTAAGTGGTTTGGTCAAATTGCAATCATTGTGTTGTGACCTGTTACTCATTTTTGGCACTGCATGGTTCGTTGACAGTAAATGACATGCCCCTTGCATTCCTTTTTTCGCCTTGCTGGTTAAAGTTGCAATCAAGGAGACATAATTCACCACAGGTCATTACAAACTGTGAATCACAGCTCAGTGGCAAGACATCCCGTCTAATATACCATGACGCACGATGTGAGACAGAGGGGTACCCCAGTGTCCCTATATATACCCTATAAACACACTCTAGACTATTGTTACCAGACACGTCCCCCTAGATATCTCAAAACATTTCCTGAGATTCCGGGAACACAATGACCAACACAAAAAGGGGTGTCCCCTCCGTTGCATATCAGTCTCAAGTCAAGTGACAAGCAATTCGAATGGAAATACACTCTGTTGTCATTGGTCACCCTCTGTTAGTTTTGTGTCCGTCTTGTCAGAGTTGCATTGGATGAGTCATAAGTCATTACAAGTGAATCACATCTCGGTGATAAGTCATCCAGTCTCAAGTCAAGCAGTAGCGGCCTCCCCCCATTGTCACAGTTCCCCCCCCCCCTCTTCTTGAGGTACATGTACGTCTTGTCTTTGTTTCCCTGTTTCTCCTGCTGTCATCTTGTTATTTAATCACTTCAAAGACAGAAATGTTCACCCTCATGAGCAAATATATGCCCGTTTGTATGTTCGTGTTTCGCCTTCATTTCCGGTGTCCCCTCTTTCCCTAAATGCTGGATCCGCCACTGTCACAGTCACCAGCAATTCCAATCAACTGGTACAGACACTCATTATAGTTCACCCTCTGTTACTTCTGAACTTATCTATATGACTTAAGACTGACCTGTATGATGAGTTATGATCTATGACTTGTGCTTCACTTGTGACGGAGCTGTTGACTTGTGCTGGCTTTCGATTGACTTGTGATGACCTGAGATTGATTTGTGACCGGTCTACAATAAGCTTTGTGATTGACTTATGATAACATTTGCGATTGACTTGTGTTGGCTTGTGATTGGTTCGCAGTTGACTTGCAGTGCCTTGTGATTGACTAATAATTCACCTGGGAGGATGACCTGTGATTGACTTATTACAAAGCTGCTTAAATTATTCCCAGGATACAACACATGGGATTCTAATACAAGACCATACATTCTTTACCTGTTTACAGTTCTCAAACCTGATCCCAGACTTTGTCCTGACCGGCCCAGGGTTTGGATCCAAGGGACCCGGCGGATACCTATGCACAGGCTTCTGGGGAAACCATTGGGACTTCAGACAAGAACTGGTTTCCTGTACGTGCTGAATCTGAATGAGAGGTTAGAACCTCTGCACTTTTATCAAAGCAGGAGGTATGATGGGTTCGAGTCATCAGTGGCGTAAATCCAAGCCGACGACTGGGGGTTGGAGTGGGGGATGATGCGCTGCAATCCTGAAACTTTCTTAGACAAGAAAAGCGCGGGGAATTGGGGGACTGGACACCACTTGTTACTAGCTGATGCTGTTCATAGTCTGTTCAGAGCCGTATATAGAGGGAGCTGCGACGTGAAGTACTTTTTTTTCTGTGATCCCGTGATTTGTGGATGCCATTTTGGGTCAAATTGGCAACAAATTAATCGGAAACTTTGCTGGGCTGTTGTGCCTTGGGATTCAGCAATCGGTAAGACAAAGGATTTAAACTTTTGTTAGGGTAATCAAAAGCGAGTTACTTTCATGCGGAAACATCTGTCCAGCCTTGGACTGAACGAAAATCACAAGTTTACAGATTAACTACAACATATTCCATGTGACTGACACAGCATTTGTCATTCACGAATGTACGAGATGAGTGTTAGCACGTGTACACGGCACGAGAACAACACTGTCGACGTGACAGAAGATTAGAAAAACTGGTTACTAGGCACTACGCAAGCTGAGTTGGATCCCAAATTGGGTCCAAATTGGTACTTTCATAACTCTCGCTAGCGGCGGTGTACAAGCAGTCTAGTCATATATGGATACATAATATGTACATTATGAGCGCTTCACTCAATTCTTTTAGTTGTGTAAATTTAACTTACTTTCTTGAGTAGTTTCAACGATGTTTTGTTTGGTTTTTTGTTCAGCTCACAAATCTATAGTGGAATGATCCAATTATCCATCCCCAAAAGGTGGGGAATGTATCCTCTGTCACCCCGGATTTAAAGGTAAAGGGGACGCACCCTTATTAAATTTATTTAATAAATAAATAAATAATAAATAAACCTGTGTTCACAGGAGCGGAGTGCCCATCTCTCTTTCATTATTGATTGGGCCAGACTCGTATGCTGCTGTGGGGGGATTCCCACACCTCCACAGCGAGTCTGTTACCTTCCCAGCATTGAATAATGCCGGTGTCTATTTAACACCTGGGTTGAGAGGAGTAATTGAGGTGAAGCGCCTTACGCGAGGGCACAACACGCATGGCCACGGCGGGGCTCGAACCCACAACCTCACGATCATGAAACCTGTGCCCTACTGCTATACCATACGTACCCCGGATTTTCGCCCGTGGTTTGAGTCTCGCCCGAGGAAGCTTGTGAATTGTTTTCTCTGCAGAGCTCTCGAACAGCGTTGAGTATAGTGTTAATGAAGGTTCATCAGCGGAGGAGTAACCCGGTGTTAAAATTCAGAACCGCCTTTATTGTCTTCAAGATTGAACAAATCTTGTAATGCATCTGAAGAATTAAAGTATTCTGTACAGAATAAAAAAGGGGATATTTTTGTCATATATTTTTTTCTTCAAGCTAATCAGCTGTTTTACCGACACAAGACAGTATTTGAGGAGCAAAGGGTACAAAGCTTAAAAACTAATCTATAATAAATGAACTTAAGGCCTTTACATAGCGTATTACTGTAATTATAATGTACATTATAGTATGAAGAAAAATCGTTATATTTTTATGCGAAAGATTTGAAAAGAACAAAAATAAATTTGAAATGTATGGCCTCAGTGAATTTTGCCGATTTTTTTTCTGTAAAGTTTCATGGAATGGCAATCAACTTTAAGTGTCTTAGTTTGTATTTTGTTTGTGGATAAGCACGCTTTGTATTTCTATGCCTCAGATGTTGATATTTTAGTGGTGTTGTTTCATTTTCTTGTGCGTTCGTTTATTCGTTTCTGCCGTTCGTGCCAGATATTGTGCAAAAGTGTATATGTTTGACCAAGAAAGCGAGTCTCGAACACGAATGGAAACCAATTTCATTGGCCGCATGCCAAGTACAGAAATTCAGTTATTATATTTTGCTAATATAGCCATAACAGGTAACTAGCCACAGTGTCGTGCATTGTAATGTTATATGTATTGTATGTCATTTGATCATTTTGCCAGTGACACCACGAAGTAACACCCAAGTGGACTGGAGTTCGCGCTACGCGCGCGTATTTTACAGAACCGATTGATTTTCGTTTGCACGAAGTAATTTAACACTCATGTACACTGTGCGCTGAATCGGTCATTTCGTTTTCACGCAGTAACACTCGTCTTTATTTTACCAGTTTGAAGGCTTATTAATAACATTTAATAAAATCAATTAATAAAATGTAATCCTACAAGAATACGGATTAATTACATTCCTGTCAAACGTTTTAAAACGTTTTTAGCCAAATAGTATTTCCGTAACAGTGTTTTAACTTTGTGAACACGAAAATCGTTCACACCAGCGTCCGATGTGCGCGAACATTTGAGTGTTACTTTGTGATACCAACATTTGTCATTAAGCGGTTTTCACGAAGTAACACTAAAGTGGACTTCGTGGTGTCGGTGACGATTTGATTAGCATATATACATTTATTAATTTACTAAGCATTCTGTATCCCGCTTAGCAACTCCATGACATTTGGGCCCAGGTTTGACGGAGGTGGTATTTGTGCGTGTGAGTTGATATCGTCGGCTGATTCGATTACGGAAGGCGCGAAAGTCGTCACCGTGAATGACTTTGGTACACACACACTCACACACACGTAGGCTATATAGAGATAGACGGTACTGGCTTGATTCACGCGTCGTTGCGGTGCGATTGCAAGGCTAGAGTAGATGCCTGTTGTCAACTGTAAACGATTGCCGATAAGCGTCAACTCCTGCATTTTAACCTTCTCATTTTATATATATATTGTTTTATTATGTACGAGTTGTGAAGTGATGAGAGCAGGATGAATAATGGAGGGTATGCATGATTGCTCGTCATCAAAATATTGATTTCTTGCGATGATTGTAGTACCGTTGTATTAAAGTTAGCCTAAGCCTATACCAGTGGGGCTCTGCCAATTGTGCATTCGGGAAAAAAAAGTCCATTTTGGGTTTGTGTTTTCAAAACTTCGAAAATATGGAGCGCATTATCAATGTGCCCACACTGAAAGACAGTCGCTTTGTTTTGTTTGTAAGATGTTTTATCGCGCATTGGTATGGATGGGATTTGAAGAAGGAACGTTCTTAACTCGGCAGGCCCGTATAGCCAGCACGGTATGAGAGGTGGGTCTTTTTGTACCAAAAGTAAAGTGCGCTTTTTTTTAGCTGGATTCATCATCATCATCATTGGGCGGCCGCAGCCGAGATGGATGCAACCAAACTTAACGTAGTTGAGGGGTCTCCTCCCTCTGTTGGGGCAAGACAATCTCCAGCAGATGAGGTTTCTGCATGCATATACAGCAAAAGTCCAGAAAAAATAAATTATCGAATGATATATTAACACTAAAAAGGTGAACATTCATCCAGATTTGGCAAAAATAATGATAATAATTACATCGTGTACTTAAACCTTATTTCAAAGATCTGGGTCACAGGAAATCCACATAATGATCTTACTTTTTATACGAATTATACAAGTAATGTTCCATCTTCGAATTATACAAGTAATGTTCCATCTTCGTCGGAGACCGGCATGGGTGTCACATTTTGAGGACTAAAAACATGTTTGAGCTTCGAAATTCCTTTTCGCGATAGTTACACGAAATCAGCAACTTGTTCAAGGAATAGTTGTGTGAACGTTCGTATTGCACTTTTTAACGATTTTTCCAAATATGATTTCGTGGTAAACGCGTTTTTTGCGCTCAATAGGGTGCTTTCTCGCTAAAATACCCCTTTAATGCTGTTAGAACTCGCATTTCCAGGTACATGTATGAAAGAATCTACACTTTCATAGGGTGAGAGGACGCTCTCTTTATAACTTACGCGCTAGGTGTCATCATTATGCATGAGTACTACGTCCAGCACGGTACACAAATCAATATGCGCACGTGTTCAAGCTGGTATTTAAAATATTATTGAGTTGCGAGTTACACGGGATACATGTACGTCCCCACGAGAATATTACAACATTCCCATCGAACTATTGTGTGCTTTCAATGACGTGACATACCCGCACATGTGTATTGCTGTCGATGCTTACAAAAGATTCAGGATGTGTTCTGGGTCAAATTATTTAATGTAGGCCGGCATGTATACTTCGGAACCTTTGATGAACTGAGTTCTTAATATGTTTTTTTTTCCATATCCATTTTCCAAATCATGGAACTTAGGCCTAAATGTAATGCTTTTGACGAAGCTATATTTGATTGAAGCTTTCTATATATTATACAGTCAAACAGCTAGGCCTTCATCCAATATGTGTCGGGTATAATCAATTTATGAACGTATAATTGCTAGTAAGTCAACAAAGAGATTTTATTTGACAGCCATGTGTTTTTCAATGAGAGCATAATAACACCAACCCAGCAAATATTGATTTTCAATTGTCAAATCCGTGCACAGATGTGCTTTAATAGTTATGCAGTGTGAACATCATTAGACAATCTGAAAAGATGCAAGTTCACATTTTGAATAGTTCACTATTCTCGAATAGGTTCACGATATAGCAATATTTTTTTTTTGTATAAACAGTTGTATGTATTTTGTGGATTTTATTTCACTTTTCTGGACGAGTGCCGGTTTCCTCAACCAAGAAAAGCGAAACGTGTTTAATAGCACTGCAACCATAAGGTTCTGTTTGTAGTAAGAAGCCATTTGCGAGTTAAATTTGAATAAAATCTGGAACGCTGACTTAATTCAGTGCTTTGCACGTATTAACTTTGCATTCTCCCGACCAAAGAGACTGTTACTATATCACGTGATTCGGGGCAAGCCTTGTGCTAGCAACCCCAAGCTCTGGCATGGTCTGGTGTATTTGTGCCATTCTTACCCATTGTGAACAATGTATTAGTGCTGAGCGTCTCTTACGTAACTGCTAGAGCTTGCCCCTATCATGTGATTAGCAACAATGTCTTTGGTCTAAGTTAAAATGAGCCAAGCATTCTGAGCAAGTCGGTGTGCCAGACGTTTTTTTAAATTTAAATCCCAAAGGGTATAGGTCACTCGCAAATGGCTCATTGTAGACTCTCATTAGGCCTCAAAGTTAAGACAGAACACCTGTGAGTTTCGATACCTTTTAATTTCAAGCACGTCATCTAATGACGTCATTTAGATCACATTTGTTTCACATTCGTTGTTTTTGTTTTTGTTTTTCATTAGGAGATTATCTTTCGGCCTCTCTCAAATAAAAAGGAGTTATGCATGCAGTTCTATGCAATAACCAATCCTTCATTCGTAAATTATCTCGGATTTATCGCAGCGAGCGCAGATATCTCGTTTCAGGTGCAGCAAAACCACTTGGCAGTTTTTGTAGAATGACCGAAGATCGTATGAACTGAAGTGGCTTTCCGTTCAGCGTATTATATGCAAGCCGTGCATGTATATTCGCATGGCTAATAAACGGGTTCAGTGCTTTAACCTATGCACCGGCCCTGCCTTGAAATATCCACGGCAATTATGACGTGGGTTTTGAATAACACGCTGCCCCGGCAACGCCAAGCAACTGTTGTCACGGCAACCGGGAAGCTGACTCCCAACAAAAAAAATTACACGGATGAGAATTCTATTTAAGGAATTCTTTTCACGGGCGGAAGAAAGAAATGAAATTGAAATCCCTGGAATTGCAAAGATCTTACTGAAAGTGCGGATAAATGTAGGTCGTCTTTTCAATTTGTCATTAGTTCCTTTAATTTCGATTACAGTAAACGCCAAAAGGGAGAAAAAAGTAAAAGCGATTTTTTTTTTCCTACTTCTTTCAAAGCTCCATTTATTACTTTATCGAACACTTTTTACAACATGGTACCTTTTATATTCTTTTAATATGCAGTACAGCGGTTTTTTTGTGACATAACCTGCGTGTGTTGCTACCCCGATTTCTAACATTTTATGGAT